TGTAATAAACCATACTGGAAAAAAATTCTCATCTGTAAGTACATGAAAAATATTTTACATTTACTGCTCTTCAAACAAAAACACTAAAATAATAATGATGAGGTATAATTTTTTTGTTTTTAAATTGACAGAGTTTTAAATGATTGTTCCCATAGGCTGTTGGTGAGAGTGTAAATTGGGACAAACTTTCCATACGGCTGTTGACAGTAACATGAAAATTTTATATACACACAAGCATACGTATGCTCTTTGATCCAATATTTCCTCTCCCCTTAATATATCCTGGGGAATAATTAAGGATAGGAACAAATATTTAGCAAAAATATTTATAACAGGAAAATATAAGAAAGGAAGTCCACATCAACCAACAGGGCCTTCATTAAATAGATTCTGGTCCTGGCATTCACAGGAATACGATCCACTCGTTTAAAATACTGCTGCCACTGTGCTGTACACCTGAAACTAATACAACATTGTTAACTGTACTCCAATATAAAATAAAAATTAAAAAGAAAAATTTTAATTAAAAAAAAAATGAATAAATACTGGTGCAGGAGAGCATCTCACCTCCTCTCCTCCTAAACCACTGAGGGGTGTATATACTGCCATTTATATCAAGGTCCCTTACAACAGTGACTTGGGGGAGGCCCTCTACCTAGAGAGTAATAGCTGGATCTACAAAGGGGGACACAGGTTGGATTTGTGGAAGCCCCCACGTGGTCCTAATGGCCTTCACTGGGTGGAATTTCCCTGATGTAAAAATGTTTTTGTTGGTACAGAAAGATGCCTGGGCTGTATAGACTGAAACAAGCATACTGTATGATATCATTTTTGGAAAATATTTATATGCAAGGAAAATATTTATATGCAAGGAAAATAGCATGGAAGAACATATAGCAAGATATTAACCACTTTTCTCTGGGTGGTAGTTCAACGGATAATAATTCCTTCATTTTGTTTTCTGATATTTCTGTTTTTTAAATGAGTACATGTTAATCATATAATTAAAATTGTTTTCTAAATAAAAATGGACAAAATAGATTAACTATCGCCTTCTGTTTCTTCAAAAAATAGAAAACAAATATTTGTAAAACTTGTATACGCTCATTTTTTAAGGAATTGGGCACTGTGGGTATTTTGTGTCTCAAAAGTATAAGAGCCATCAGACACACTTGAAACTAAAACAACATTGTAAATGAACTACAATTTTAAAAAGAGAGGAGAAAGAAAGACTATAGAAGAATAAGTACCAAAAAAAGGCATCAGTCACTTAAAATTGTTGACAGTTACTGATTTTATCAGTGACTGACTTTAACCTCCTCCTTTTTTAAAACCTAGCAGAATTGAATTTAATCATTTCCTGACGAAAGAATGCAATTTCTTTTTTTTTTTAACTTTTTATTTTATATTGGAGTATAGTCGATTAACAACGTTGTGATAGTTTCAGGTGCAAGGCAAAGGGACTTAGCCATACATACACATGTATACATTCTCCCCCAAACTCCCCTCCCATCCAGGCTGCCACATAACATTGAGCAGAGTTCCCTGTGCTATACAGTAGGTCCTTGTTGGTTGTCCGTTTTGAATATAGCAGTGTGTACATGTCAATCCCAAACTCCCTGGCTATCCCTTCCCCCCCAATCCTTCACCCTGGTAACCATAAGTTCATTCTGTAAGTCTGTGAGTCTGTTTCTGTTTTGTAAATAAGTTCATTTGTATCATTTCTTTTTAGATTCTGCATGTAAGGGATATCATATGATATTTCACTTTCTCTGACTTACTCTGTATGACAATCTGTAGGTCCATCCAGTTGCTGCAAATGGCATTATTTTATTCTTTATAATGGGTGAGCAATATTCCACTGTATATATGTACCACATGTTCTTTATCCATTCCTCTGTTGACGGACACTTAGGTTGCTTCCAGGTCTTGGCTGTTGTAAACAGTGCTGTAGTGAACACTGGGGTGCACGTATCCTTTTGGACCATGTTTTTCTCAGGGTATATGCCCAGGAGTGGGATTGCTGGATCAGATGGTAGCTCTATTTTTAGATTTTTAAGGAACCTCCATACTGTTCTCCATAGTGGCTGCATCAATTTACATTCCCACCAACAGTCATGAGGGTTCCCTTCTCTCCACATCCTCTCCAGCATTGTTTGTGGATTGTTTGACGATGGCCATTCTGACTGGTGTGAGGTGATACCTCATTGTAGTTTTGATTTGCATTTCTCTAGTAATTAGCGATGTTGAACATCTTTTCATGTGCCTCTTGCCCATCTGTATATCTTCTTTGGAGAAATGTCTGTTTAGGTCTTCTGCCCATTTTTTGATTGGGCTGTTTGTTTTGATGATATTAAGCCTCATGAGCCGTTGGTAAATTTTGGAGACTAATCCCTCGTCAGTCACGTCATCTGCAAATATTTTCTCCCAATCCGTGGGTTGTCTTTTTGTTTTGTTTATGGTTTCCTTTGCTGTGCAAAAGCTTTTGAGTTTAACAAACTTTTCTTCTCCTTTTTTAACGTCTTTATTGGAGTATGATTGCTTTACAGTGGTGTGTTAGTTTCTGCTTTATAACAAAGTGAATCAGTTATACATATACATATATCCCCATATCTCTTCTCTCTTGCGTCTCCCTCCCTCCCGTCCTCCCTATCCCACCCTTCTAGCTGGTCACAAAGCACCGAGCTGATCTCCCTGTGCTATGCGACTGCTTCCCACTAGCTATCTATTTTACGTTTGGTAGTGTATATATGTCCACGCCACTCTCTCACTTTGTCACAGCTTACTCTTCCCCCTCCCCATATCCTCAAGTCCATTCTCTAGTAGGTCTGTGTCTTTATTCCTGTCTTGCCCCTAGGTTCTTCATGACCTTTTTTTTTTTTTGGATTCCCTATATATATGTTAGCATACGGTATTTGTTTTTCTCTTTCTGACTTACTTCACTCGGAATGATACACTCTAGGTCCATCCACCTCACTACAAATAACTCAATTTCGTTTCTTTTTATGGCTGAGTAATAATCCATTGTATATATGTGCCACATCTTCTTTATCCATTCATCTGTCAATGGACACTTAGGTTGCTTCCATATCCTGGCTATTGTAAGTAGAGCTGCAATAAACATTGTAGTAAATGACTCTTTTTGAATTATGGTTTTCTCAGGGTATATGCCCAGTAGTGGGATTGCTGGGTCGGATGGTAGTTCTATTTTTAGTTTTTTAAGGACCCTCCATACTGTTCTCCATAGTGGCTGTATCAATTTACATTCCCACCAACAGAGCAAGAGGGTTCCCTTTTCTTGACACCCTCTCCAGCATTTATTGTTTGTAGATTTTTTGATTATGGCCATTCTGACCGGTCTGAGGATATCTCATTGTAGTTTTGATTTGCATTTCTCTAATGATTAATGATGTTGAGCATTCTTTCATGAGTTTGTTGGCAATCTGTATATCTTCCTTGGAGAAATGTCTATTTAGGTCTTCTGCCCATTTTTGTATTGGGTTGTTTGTTTTTTGATATTGAGCTGCATGAGCTGCTTGTAAATTTTGGAGATTAATCCTTTGTCAGTTGCTTCATTTGCAAATATTTTCTCCCATTCTGAGGATTGTCAGAGGGTTGTCAGCAAAGGAAACCATAAACTCTTGTTTATGTTTCCTTTGCTGTGCAAAAGCTTTTAAGTTTCATTAGGTCCCATTTGTTTTTGTTTTTATTTCCATTTCTCTAGGAGGTGGGTCAAAAGGGATCTTGCTGTGATTTATGTCATAGAGTGTTCTGCCTATGTTTTTCTCTAAGAGTTTGATAGTTTCTGGCCTTACATTTAGGTCTTTAATCCATTTTGAGCTTATTTTTGTGTATGGTGTTAGGGAGTGTTGTAATTTCATACTTTTACATGTAGCTGTCCAGTTTTCCCAGCACCACTTATTGAAGAGGCTGTCTTTTCTCCATTGTATATTCTTGCCTCTTTTATCAAAGATAAGGTGACCATATGTGCATGGGTTTATCTCTGGGCTTTGTATCCTGTTCTATTGATCTATATTTCTGTTTTTGTGCCAGTACCATACTGTCTTGATTACTGTAGGTTTGTAGTATAGTGTGAAGTCAGGGAGCCTGAATCCTCCAGCTCCATTTTTCGTTCTCAAGATTGCTTTGGCTATTCGGGGTCTTTTTTGTTTTTATACAAATTGTGAAAATTTTTGTTTTCATTCTGAGAAAAATGCCAGTGGTAGTTTGATAGGGCTTGCATTGAATCTGTAGATTGCTTTGAGTACTAGAGTCATTTTCACAATGTTGATTCTTTCAATCCAAGAACATGGTGTATCTCTCGAACTGTTTGTATCATCTTTAATTTCTTTCATCTGTGTCTTATAATTTTCTGCATACAGGTCTTTTGTCTCCTTAGGTAGGTTTATTCCTAGGTATTTTATTCTTTTTGTTGCAGTGGTAAATGGGAGTGTTTTCTCAATTTCACTTTCAGATTTTTCATCATTAGTGTATAGGAATGCTAGAGATTTCTGTGCATTAATTTTGTATCCTGCTGCTTTACCAAATCCATTGATTAGCTCTAGTAGTTTTCTGGTAGCATCTTTAGGATTCTCTATGTATAGTAAACAGTGACAGCTTACTTCTTCTTTTCTGATTTGGATTCCTTTTATTTCTTCTTCTTCTCTGATTGCTGTGGCTGAAACTTCCAAAACTATGCTGAATAATAGTGGTGAGAGTGGGCAACCTTGTCTTGTTCCTGATCTTAGTGGAAATGGTTCCAGTTTTTCACCATTGAGGGCGATGTTGGCTGTGGGTTTGTCATATATGGCCATTATTTTGTTGAGGAAAGTTCTCTCTATGCCTACTTTCTGGTGGGTTTTTATCATAAATGGGTGTCGATTTTTGTTGAAAGCTTTCTCTGCATCTTTTGAGATGATCATATGGTTTTTCTCCTTCAATTTGTTAATATGGTGTATCACATTGATTAATTTGTGTATATTGAAGAATCCTTGCAAGGAATGCAGTTTCAACTGACCTATATTTTGCACCTTGGTGAGTATTATCAAAATCCATTTTCTGCTTGTATTGAATTGTTCTAAAGTGTTTAGTGGAGATAGGTTTTAAACATATCCACCTCTTTTTTCTATGCTAACACATATTTGCATGACTCTTCTGTTGTATAATTGTGTCAACAACTAGAAAGTTTCAGTCAAACATGGCCATTATCCACCCATAGCTATTTCTGTCACTCTTTAATGGAGTATTAGCAGCAGCAGGTAAATAAGATACTAAAAAAAGCAAACTACTTTGAGATTCTTAATTTACACATACAATGCATTTTAATTTTTAAAAATAGCTCTGCTTTGAATATAGCACTTATCCCAGTGATGAGGTCTCATAAAGAATTTATAGGCAAAATTCCCTCTTCTGAGTAAGCTGCAACTCAGAACTAAAAGGCCAAATTCTCCATACTGGGCTGTCTTTAATAAGCTGAGAATCACTTATATTAGTCATAGAGAAGATGTTTCCAACAATTACTCTCTTTGATCCTGCTTTTCTGTATCTATAACAGCCCTGCTTTGAGTGACTACTAACTAAATTGCTTAGAATCTTCTCTTGAAATATTCCTGCTGAATTTCTTCAGGGCAGTAGACTTTTAAGAATCTCCTCTTTTAATTTGGCAACTCCCAAACCCTGAGGCAAATTCTCAGTTAGCTTGGCTGGTCATGGAACAAAGAAGAACAGCTCTTGATGGTAAAGGCTCATTTGTTCTTTGTTGAAAAATTTCTGCCTCAGAGGCAAGCCACAAGCCAGCCAATGGAAGTGGAGACTCACTGGACTGCGCTCCCCCCCCCAGGACTAGGAAGCTTAGATCTGGTCTCAAAGAGTCAGGGAAGAGTTGGTCTTGTCTACATCTGCTTTGTTTTTTGTTTTGTTTGTTTGTTTTGGCCACACTGTGCAGCATGTGGGATCTTAGTTCCCTGATTGGGGATCGAACCCACACCTCCTGAGTGGAAGCGCGGAGTCCTGACCACAGGACGGCCAGGGAAGTCCCCATCTATATCTTCTTAGGATGTTCTCTTTGGGACTAAAACAGTATTCAAAATCAGAAGCAACCAGTCATGGCATCTTTTCCCGGCCTCACCATAGGATAACTTACACCTTGCCAAAGTTCTAAACCACGCCACAGAACCTCAGAGAGGCCTCAATCAGGAGACCCTTCTCTCTGGAGGGAAAACCTTCAAAACTAAATTAGCTTGGGTGGAAAAGGTCTCCCTGCAACAGATCCTGGGTTTCTAAACCTAAGCTTTACCTGCTCTAACCCAAATCTCTAGGGTAGCCTGTGGTCAAACTACCAACCAGGTTAGCCCCACCTCATCTGCATGGGCATTTTCTGGTTTATAGTTCGACCACAGGCATTTATATAAATACTGAAGCCTATTTAAACCCTCTGTCTTGTATTCTAACTAAGGAAGATAAGGAGAAAAGATCATAAAATTGGCCCCAGGTTTGGGGAACTGTATACAAAGTGCAAATCTTATCCAATGTGCATCCTTTGCACGTTTGCTCACTCATAGTAAATAATGTGTGTGAGAACATAAATGGATGTGTGTGTTTATAGCCTCTAAACTCTGAAGTGAAGTCTAAACTAGATGAAAACATCACATGTGTTTAAGAAAATTATAACAATATCCAAAATTACTGAGAGATCATATAATAATGGTTGTATCTATAAATGACTCTGACTTTACCGAAAATTTACTGTATATTTTCTTTAAATGACCAGCTTTCCTAAATTCATTTTTAATAAGATCCTGTCATCAAGTTTTATGTCATTTTTGAGCAATACATTGATTTTCTAAAGACAGAAACATTATTCTCGAAATCAGTTCCAACCTATTGCTCATGTAATAACTCAGCAGTTGAAAGCTTTAATCCAGGAAGGATATTGCTACGTCTATCTATGTTCAGGCATGAAGGTTTAACTACTTAAGGTTTTTCACCACTTTCTGCCAAGTATTTTAGACCAGAAGTTCATATTTGGTGGTAGAATATTACATGAATAATAGTTCAATTTCCCAAAGTCCTGGAATACTTTTATTTCTGAAAAGTACATGTTTGATTAAAACATGTTTGGCCAAGTCAGGTTCTAAAAACATATTCAATCTCTAAGGCAACAATTCCAATAAAAGAATTCAGGATGGAACCTGTCTAAAAGAATAAAGCCCTGGAAGGGGAATCTTAGCTAATCCACACGTAGCATTAGCAGAGATTTTATACCTGCCCTTTTTGAAAAAGCCTCTGTCTGTTGAAGTCCAAACTTTAGGTTAGTTATTTATCCTAGATGCCAATTCTAGGAAATAAAAGGAGATGGGGATTTGGATTGTTGGGTGAATAAAAAGAAACATCCAGGTTAACCAAGCTAGGATCATCTATTATATAGTGAAATAAAGTGTGTGAGGGGCCTAACCACATCTCAAAGAGAAAGAAATATTATGCTCTGTTTTAGTATAATAATCTTTGCAATGAGATGGAAGGTGGAAAATTCCCCATTCAAACTGACTTTTGGTAATCTGTGGGGAAGGAGACATTATGGATCATATTCTTAGCTATAGAAACGTGATCTATATATATGTTTAACACCTAATAATAATCACAAAATGACCATATTAGCAGAATAGATGTGGGTAATGTGTACACAAGGGAAAGAACATTATTTTTCAGTAGGCTGTATTTTTGGAGGACAGCTTGAAGGAAAGCAATCCATTAAATCCATTCAAAACAAGTCCATGATAGAAGATTCTTTATATTTTTATCGTTGAAAAAACTGAGGAGAAGCCAAGCTTATTCCACAGTATGGTAATTATTTTTCCTTTTAGGCCCATCCCTCCCACCCCTGTCTGCTGAAATCAGGGCTTGGCATAAATTTTCATGTCTCGGGAAAAGTATATAGGAGCAGCTGGAACCTGTCCTGTGTGTATTATTTTAGAGTGTGGGATTTACATGATTCACCATCCAGAGGCTGATGGGGTGATTTTGAAGGGAGAGGGAGTTGTTTGGGGTGTTTTTTTTTTTAATTTTTTGTTTTGAGATAATTGCAAGTTCCCATGCAGTTGTAAGAAATAATACAGAGAGCTTCCCTGGTGGCGCAGTGGGTGAGAGTCCGCCTGCCGATGCAGGGGACACGGGTTCGTGCCCCGGTCCGGGAAGATCCCACATGCCGCGGAGCGGCTGGGCCCATGAGCCATGGCCGCTGAGCCTGCGCATCCGGAGCCTGTGCTCCGCAATAGGAGAGGCCACAACAGTGAGAGGCCCGCGTACTGCAAAAAAAAAAAAAAAAAAAAAGAAAGAAAGAAAAAATACAGAGAGATCCCATTTCACCCAATTTTCCCCAATGGTAGCGTCTTGTGTAACTACAGTACAATATTACAGCCAGGAAACTGACACTGAAATAATCCATTAACCGTATTCAGATTTCTGCAGTTTTACATGCCCTTGTTTGTGTGTGTGTGTATTTAATTCTATGCAATTTTATCACGTGTATAGATTCATGAGACCATACCACAGTTAAGATACAGAACAGTTCCATCACTTCCAGGATCCCTAGTAATACTCTTTTATATCCACACCCACCTCTCCCCCTCCCTCACCCATGGCCACCATGAATCTGTTTTCCAGCTCTAGAATTGTGTCATTCAAGAAAAGGAATTATGTAGTATATAACCTTTTGAGATTGGTGTTGTTTACTCAGCATCATTCCTTGAAGATCCATCCATAGTGTCGCATGTATCAACGACTCCCTCCCTTTTCCTGCTGAGTAGTATCCCATGGTATGGATAGACCACACTTTACCTAACCATTCACCCACTGAAGGACATCTGGGTTGTTGCCGGTTTGGGGCCATGATAAAGATGCTATACAGATTTTTTATGAATAGATATTTTAATCTCTCTGGGATAATTACCTAAGAGTGTAATTGCTAGGTTGTATGATAAGCGCATTCTTAGCTTTAGAAGAAACTACCGTACGTCTTCCCAGAGTGGCTGTTCCATTTTACATTCCTACCAGCAGTGTATGAGTAATCCAGTTTTCCCCATCCTCTCCAGCAGCTGGAGTTATTACTGTTTTTTATTTAGCCATTCTGTTAGGTATGTAGTGCTATTGTGGTTTTGATTTGCGTCTCCCTAATGGCTAATGATATTAAACATCTTCTCAGGTGCTTACTGGCTCTCTCTCTGTCTCCTACAGTGAAATGTCTATTCATGCTGCTTGCCATTTTCTACTTGGATTGGTTTTTTAATGTTGAGTTTTGAGAGCCCTTTATATATTCTAGATCAAGTGCTTTGTCAGATACGTGATTTGTAATTATATTCTCCCAGTCTGTAGCTTGCCTTTTTACCTCTTCACAAAGTTTTTAATTTTGATGAGGTCCAATTTACCAATTTTTCTTTTTATGGATCATGAGCTTGCTGTCAATTCAAGTGTGTGACTTTAACATAACGGAGTAAACCCTGCAGACAATCCACGCAGGCAAGAAATAGTTTGGATTACCATACCCACCCCGCATTCACATATAAAGATTTAACAGTTATCTTAACTCAGAATTTCACATTTTAAAACAAACAGAACTTTAAAAATCATTTTTAAACCAAGCTTTAAAGATACTATTTCAGAGGCTACACGTGAAAAGTAAAGAACTGAGGTGACAGTTGAGATAGAGCTGCCCTTTAATGCTCTGGCTCACCTGTGACTGAAACCTTCATGACAGATCTGTTGGACGGCAGATACCAATGGCTAAGTGTACTATACAGGCTGAAACTCCCACCTGTCCCATCCTTTATCCCAGAGGGGTATGATTTGGTCCATGGTGTATCTGAACCCAGCAATTCAGGTTATAAAGGGGTCAGTTAAATTTATATATTTTAAGAGAAAGTTATTTCCCAAGGAATTCTTAAATTCTCCAGTTGATTTTCTCCATGTTTGGACAACAGGTATAAGAGGCGGGGTGAGGATTCTCCTTCCTCGTGTCTATGCATTCGTCTTTGTTATTTGCCCTAAAATAACACATAGAGAATTCCCAGCGAATGGAGGCTGTCTCAGATCAGGTCTCCCAGAAGCAGAGCCTGAGACAAGGATTTGTGTGCAAGTGATTTATTGAGGGAGTGCTCTGAGGAGGGAGAGTGAGGGGGGTGGAGGCAGGATGGGGTCCCAGCAGGAGTCTGGCTTCAACCTCCTCCCAGGAGAGCTTCTGAGCATAAATTGCACCACAGAGTAGAGCCCAGCCTGAGGCAATGGCTGGGAAATATGTATCCATCAGTCACTGGCTACCGGCTGGGCCCGGTGGGGACATGAGCACAGGTGGCATAACCTCCCAGGCTAAGAGATTTCCATCAGGCTGAGGGCGCCAACAGTATCCACCACCAGGATCTTAATAATCACAGAACTAGTATTAAAAATACACAGACTGTTAACTCTCCCACTTAACCAGTTGCTTCTCTAAGCCTTCTGCTACCCTTAGATTGCCTCCTCTGTCCTGTTTCTGTCATGATCAAGGGTTGCTCAGTTACATGGAAGCTCAAGATGAATGCAACAGAGGTGCTTGTCGCCCCCCCACCAGCAATCTCCTGGTGGGTTGCAGCGCGCAGCTCTCTGCTTCTACCTGTGGGCTGGGCGGGACCCAGAAATACTGCATCCTCAGTTACCTTGAGGTGGGTTGATTCTTTACTTGTTGGGACATAATTTAGTCAGTGATGCAGATTTTTCCAAGTACATCTAGGGCAGTCGAGACAACAGTAAAAAGGAGACAGCACGCTTTCCGAAACATCAGAGATACAAGTGATTCAATTCAACATCTGGGAAAACTTCCCTGATCAGGGAAAAAGGAAAATGGGCTTCATCTATTTCTTGTTACCTTTAGAGTTAGACAGAAAACGCTTTTTTGATTCAGTCTTTGAAGGGAATACTGTACAATATACTGTTTTGCTTGGCTGCCTTAGTGACTCTCATGGAGTGGACTTAATTGACTAGTTGGGTGAAGATGGAAGATCCCTCAGGGCCGCAAGGCTATTATGCTGAACGTGAGTTCTCACTGCCCTGCTTCAGGTGGAGATGGAGCTGGGGCCGACTTGGTATTGTCTACAGTTCCATGCTACTTGGAAATTGTCTTGTCTAGAGACTATCAAATCCTGATGTGAACATATTTTTGTGCCTTTTTTTTCTTAAAGACCCATTTTATTAAAGGACCAGTTGCTTTTTTTTTCTTCCCTGGGCTCTGAAACAAGCATCCAAGGTCATCTGAGTATCATACCTGCTGAAAAGCCCAAGGCAATCACGTCAACCCCTTAACTGAGAGGATGTTCAGGAAGGAAGTTGGATGTAAGCCTAATGTTAGTGGCCCAGGCTTTTCCATGTATTGTTCGTTTAAGGCAACTCCCGGAGGCTCTGGGAAAGGCTTTGTATTCTCATTTGTTTCTAGTAAAAAGAAGATGATTCTAAATAAGTGGAGACAATACCTGAATGTTGAGCCCTGGCCGAAGTTTGGGAAGTACTTGTGTAAGAAAGCAAATCCTCTACATGTGCAAGGAAATGACACTATAGTTTTGCTCAGTTTTAGGTCAGGTGGGATGGAAGGCCCTTCAGGTAACTTCCCGAAGTCCAGGTCCTCTGGACAAAGAAGTAGCTCCCAGCTGTAATACTAGAAACTTTCCAACACTGGCATCACCCCTCTTGTCCTTCCACCATTGGCATTTGCTTAAGTTGTCATGAGCCACTATACTCTGATGATAATTAGAAATTGATGTTCCTGGATTGCAAAGTTACACCAAAAATAGAAATAAATCAAACTGCAGAGCTTCTTTGGTCTAGGTAATCACAGAAATCTTCATCTTCAAACTGGAATAAAAACCTCAAGATAGCTTCTGGCTGACAAAGTATTACAGGTGGGACTACAAGTACTAGTTACATAAACATTTGCCTGGCATGGAAGATACTTTTTTTTCATCCATTGTCTAGCAAAGAGCTATCAGGTGAAACATTCTCTTCCGAATCTTCAAGTCAACATCGACTCAGAGTGCTACCCAAGTTGGACCTCCCATATCTAGTTGCCACAACTAAGCATCCTCTGTAGCCATTTCCATCAAAGATTGTGCTTCGAAAATGTTTACAGAAAAAAAAAAATGACCCACAATCAAAATGGCCCTTGAAGTTAGACATTTTCCCCAATAATTTTCATAGTATTACTGAAATGAAGTCTTGACACCTTTTAGTGGAATCACAGGGTTCCTGCTGCTCTTTTAGGACAGATCTGGGGCAAACCTTCCTCTAGGCAGAACTGATGTTGCTTGTATGAGTCCTTAATTTCCAAAGGGCATTTTGGTTTTCTTCAAGTATAAGGCTTATGGTGGCCCATGCTTCTGAAAAGATTTTATAGATCTCTTGAAAGGCTGGTTTACTTTGACAGACTCTAGCTGACATAGTCATTAAAATCATCATGCATTTGTTCAACAAAAGAGGTGGGCCAGGTCAGATCGTGTAGGCCCTTGTAAGCCATGATCAAACATAAAATCAAACACTCGCTGAATACCTACCAGCACATTTGCTGTTGTGGGCAATTTCCAATATGGAAATGGAAGAAATAGCTCCTGCTTCCTGGAAGCTTTGCAAAAATGATCCTCCAGAGTCCCACAGATATTAGCCAGGAACATCTGTGCAGACCATTGGCAGTCCTTTGGAAATCTTGGGAGATTTCCCCAGGAGTTTTAAGTAAGTAGAGCTACAAGTGGATGCATTTAATTAAGCAAACTCAAAGGCCAATCTTGACTGTTATAACCTTTGAAAATCCATCCCAAGCAAAACGAGTTCCAATTAACTAAAACCTTCTAGTCTGCAAGACAAGAGGGTGGGTCTCTCTATTGTGAGTTTAATGAAAATCTTTTATAAAATCCACATGTGTGACGTAAAGATTTTGGCCCTGGAAGCTTTTATGCCAAAAATAATGTCTGAGAGGGAAAGGATGATGGTTGCAGATAAACTAATGGCCAATTATTTCATTAATTTCTTCCTGATTCTTTTTTTATATAGCTATTTGAATTTTATTTGTTTTAGTTTATTGTTGGCTGCGTTGGGCCTTCATTGCTGCACATGGGCTTTCTCTAGTTGCGGTGAGCAGGGGCTAGTCTTCATTGCAGTGTGCGGGCTTCTCATTGTGGTGGCTTCTCTTGTTGCAGAGCTCAGGCTCTAGGCACGAGGGCTTCAGTAGTTGTGGCATGCGGGCTCAGTAGTTGTGGTTTGCAGGCTCTAGAGAGCAGGCTCAGTAGTTGTGGGACACAGGTTTAGTTGCTCCGCAGCATGTGGGATCTTCCCGGACCAGGGCTCGAACCCATGTCCCCTGCATTGGCAGGCGGGTTCTTAACCCTTGTGCCAGCAGGGGAGTCCCTAATTATTCTTTTTTTTTTGGCTAAAGAGAGTCATTCCAACTCAATAGTATATCCTAATTATTTTTCTATAGTTTAAAATAACCTCCAGTTCCTCTGCCCCTTGTATGAGAAAAATTATGAGTTCTACATAAATCTGCATTTTTGTCCCAAGTGTATAAATTTATAAAATTTCTAGGTCACATCTTAATTTTGTTTATTTTTGTAGTTAAATGCCTATTGATGGAAAAATTGATGTCTTGTTACTTCCTCTACTTTCTATTTTTAGCCAGACTGAATGAAAAATATAGTAAGTACAGCTTGTTTTTAAATTCATATCAACAATAAGTAATGATGATTCTTTATTTTTAATTTTAATGATGTGTTTTCCAGGGGGAACAAAAATGCCTCATCTGTGACTCCAGATTTCCATATGATCCGCACGCCCAACCCAACAGCCACACCACTGAGAATGTAATCCCAAGTTTTGAACCAGATGGAGAAGAAAAATGGTGGCAATCAGAAAACAGTATGATTAAGTTCCATTCCAATTTTTTATTCCTTCAAATTTTTTGTAAGGCACCTTTCACTCTATGATTTTGGCACTATCACAGCAAGGAGTTATACTGAAATGGAATTGTATCCACTGAGAATGTAAAACCCTCTAAAAAAACAAAATTTAATTTTTATTTTAAGAAAGATTATTTTCCTCTTGAGAAATCGAAGTATTTTTTAAGCACATAACTCAGAATGTTTCACTTTTTCTGTGGTGGGAAAGAACGTAGCTCTGCATCCTCTTGTTCTTTGTTAAAAAAAAAAAAGTTATGAGGTGTTGGTAAATTAAGCCATATATAAAACACACTGCTGTAAACAAATAATAACCCAGGGGAAGTCTGAGAGTTAATACCATGTGCTTTTTCCTTTTTCAACTCCTGAAGGGAAAAAGAGAACGGACATTTTATTTCTTACTGTAAGCCAAAGATTTTAATATAAAAATCGAATTGAGAGGAGAGTTGGCTACTCACTGCAGTCTTTCTTTCCTGGATTGATGCCCTTCCCTGTTCATGAATAACTGTGATACTGAACCTCACACCGGCCCTGACCGTCCTTATTTCCTAGACACCACTGTAAGTTTGGACCTGATTGGGGATTTCTTGTTTCCCACCCCAGCCTTGGGCCTTATGTGTTTAATGCAGCTGGTTGGGCTATATTAAATGATGGGCCCTCTTCAACACTGGTCTGGAGCCCTTAACCCAGAAAAGGATTCCATTGCCACATCTCTGTATGTTGCACCTTGGGCTACAATTCCTCTATTCTGTTCAGATGCCTAAACATATTTCCCTTCGGGGATCCTAGACCATGAGAGGGGAGTGTGGGAATAATCATAATAGGTAAGATCATTTAGGGCAAGCATCATATGAGGCTATTTTTTTATGTCACCTATTGGACAGGGACATGATTGGTGTCTATTAAATGCTGGTTCATTTTGGATCCTAATGATTGGTCTGTCATTGGACTCTCCTTAGTGAATGTTGGTGGGTTTTGCCACACTGACGGATGCGGCCATTTTTGCTTCACAGCTGCTTTGACCCACACGTCCAGCATTCGTTCCACGTCTCCTTACAGAAGGAATGCCCTTCGGTCAAAGCTGACTACACAGAAGATGGGTTCTCAACCAAGAACTTTAGACAGGGCACAAGAGATGTCCTTTCCAGAAAGAGCTAGGAGCCCTTGACACAGAGCCTGGAGTGTGGCTGCTCTCTCGGCAGCACATCCTTCCCCAAGCCATTCAGCCTAGAATGCTAAGCTGCTCCCCAATTCACCACAGTGCAGCCACTGTTCTCTGGAACTAGACTGTCCAATACTGTGGCTCCACACATGGCTCCTGAGCATGCAGAACATGGCAAAACCAAACTGAGATGTACTGTGAATGTAAAAACATCCTGGATTTCTAAGACTTAATTTCGAGAAAAATATATGTGTAATAAAGCACTACTAATTTTTAAAATGTTGACTATATATTGAAATGAGAATATTTTTCATATATTGGATTAAGTATATTATATATATCATATATGACATAAATATATATGATAAATAATACATTATATCATGTATGACATATAAGTAATATTCAATGTATTATAAATAATTTATAATAAATATAATAAAGTATTATTTATTATATTTATTATTAATAAAGATAAATAATTTCTCCTGCTTCTTTTTACTTTAAAATGTGGCTGCTAAAAAGTTTTAAATGACACATGGGACTCATATTCCCATCGGACAGTTCCACTCGAGAGCGGCTTCTATCACGTCTGGATTGGGGTTGATCCTCTGTGTCCGTGCTAGAGCTGGATGGCAGCTATCTCAGTGCAAAGTCCTGGCCAGGATGCTTTGGGCTACAATCCATGTGTTCTCTTTGGACACCTAAATATATCTCCCTTAGGAGATCCTAGACCATGAGAAGGGAGTGTGGGAATCGTCATAATATATAAGCTCATTTAGGGCAAGCATAATATGAGGTTGTCTTTCTATGTCATCCATTGAACAAGGACATGATTGGTGGCCACAGAGGAACCCACAGACCCTCAGTCCCAGGGAAATAATCCAAGCTGGGTTTTCTGCTAAGTGACAATACAAATAGTTCAAATGCTTTTTTGCAGCTGTTGGAAGGAAAGGGTGTTTGCCATGCTGTGCCTGCTAGCTTATGTTGAGTCAAGACTTGAGGTCAAGGAAATGATCCTTCTCTTTCCACCTCTGGGGAATGTCTGGGAACTCCCTTGGTGGTACGTGATGCTGCCACACAGTGGCCGTGTGCATTGCCACCAAAAGGTGGATGTGGGCACAGTCAGGGGAAAACAGGTATTACCTGTACGTGGACCTTCTCCTGGGCATGGCTGACTTGGGAAACCACTCCAGCAGACTAGGCAAGAGTGTTGATCACCAACCATGAGATTTCAAAGGGTTTCGTTACAGACAAGCCACAATGAGGGATTAACGTGATAAACAGGGGTCTCTCAAAATCACTGATTTTCTTCTTTCTCGTTTTTCCTTTAGGTCTTGATCATGTCAGCATCAGACTGGATCTAGAGGCATTATTTCAGTTCAATCAACTTATTCTGACATTTAAGGTACAGATGTGTAGGCTTGCTGTCCCCTTATCTATTTACCAAATGCTTGGTATACCTACAATTTTGCTTCCTTGCTTCCCTACAGAGAACAAAAAGCTGTTTAAATCCAACTGAAGCTTTGTCATCCGGGTTTTTGTTCTTGAATGGAAAACAAAAAAAACCCCCTCTGCTCATTAATAATTTATTTAGATTAAGCATAAAAATAAAATAAAATCTTGGAAGATACAGCAGAAAGGAAACCTCCAAGCCCTGGGTTGATAGAGATTACAAGAACTAGAAAGATAATTTTTGACATAAGAGGGCAGGAACTGGAAATTATTTAGGGAAAAATTGTGATCAAAAGAGGAAGAAAATTTAAAGGCTCTTTACTGAGATTAGGTAGATGCCAGAGAAAATCCTGTACTATTGTCATTCTTTAATCATTCATCAAAATTCTAATTTTGATGTCAAGCCTGGAGCTAGGTTTTGGTAATAAAAAAGGAACATAAGGGGCTTCCCTGGTGGAGCAGTGGTTGAGAGTCCGCCAGCTAATGCAGGAGACGCGGGTTCGTGCCCCGGTCCGGGGAGATCCCACATGCCGCAGAGCGGCTGGGCCCGTGAGCCATGGCCGCTGAGCCTGCGCGTCCGGAGCCTGTGCTCCGCAACGGGAGAGGCCACAACAGTGAGAGGCCCGCGTACCGCAAAAAAAAACAACAACAAAGGAACATAAAACTAAATGTTTTAAAAATTTTAAAAAGAACCCAGTCTTTGCCTTCAAAGAGCTCACAGTCTAGTCATGTATACAAACATATATATAATATATATATTATATATACACACACACATACATATATAAATTTGAAATTATAATGCCAAGTGACAAGTGCAGAAATAGATGTATGATTAGAATGCTGGGGGGTTCATTGACATGGCTAAGATGGCTCTGGGGAGTTGGTAAACTTCATGGTGGATTTTGAAGTATGTGTAGGAGTTTGCCAGAGGAAAAGCATTCTAGGCAAAGAAAAACCACATGCAAATTGCTGTAAAATATCTGCTACACTGCCTTTTTTAAAAATGAGTATGCTATCTTGCTTCAATTAATAATTCACAGAACCATAAACAATTTAAAAGTGGAATTCGATTCTGGGGCAAAGCATGTGCTCATAAATACTCGCCCGCCTGTTAGAAAGAGATTTCGGTGTTTTCATGGTAGAATAGATTTTTTTGTTTGTTTGTTTTGTAAATGTATTTTATTTACTTATTTATTTTTGGCTGTGTTGGGTCTTCGTTGCTGTGCGCGGGCTTTCTCTGATTGCGGTGAGTGGGGGCTACTCTTCATTGCGGTGCGCGGGCTTCTCACTGTGGTGGCTTCTTTTGTTGCAGAGCACGGGCTCTAGGCGCGTGGGCTTCAGTAGTTGTGGGTCGCAGGCTCCCTAGTTGTGGCTCGCGGGATCTAGAGCGCAGGCTCAGTAGTTGTGGCGCACAGGCTTAGTTGCCCCATGGCGTATGGGATCTTCCCGGACCAGGGCTCAAACCCGTGTTCACCGCATTGGCAGGCGGATTCTTAACCACTGCGCCACCAGGGAAGCCCGGTAGAATAGATTTTTAAAGATACAAATAAAGTTTTAAAAAATGGAATTTGAAAATGGAAACATTCAATCTGGAGTGGGTAATAAAATCAACTTTTGTGATGTATGACAAGTTTAACTCATTTTTCTCCTAGACTTTTTGGCCTGCTGCAATGTGAATTGAATGCTCCACAGACTATGGACACACCTGGAGAGTGTTCAAATATTTTGCCAAAGACTGTGCTACTTCCTTCCCCAACATCACATCTGGCCAGGCCCACGGAGTGGGAGACCTTCTTTGTGACTCCAAATATTCAGATACTGAACCCTCCACTGGTGGTGAGGTAGCATTTCCTTCCTTGGATTTCTTTGCCATAAATGAAACCTATTTTTGTTAATGTGGTTAATTGAGATGCAAACAATTTAGGTAGTGTTTACTGAAATTGAACTTGAGCTGCTGGTTGTTTCAGAATGAATGTGTCTGGATTGAAATGAGTCCTGAATTCATCTTATATTCAGATAAATTATAAATACCTTATAAGAAATCATCCTGTAGAGGAGTGCTGTGCTGAAGGTAAGCAAGGGCTAAAATGCAGCCTGGGCACCAGAGGAAGCAACATCTTTTTCTAACCCTTGTAAAGGAACCACAGAGGCTGGCGGCAGCCCTGGATTAGTTGTCTCAGCTCCCTGCTCTGTAAGTCCCCACCCACGTGGAATCTGCCAGGAACTTCCTCAGAGCAAAGCTGGTGATGGGCAGAGGGTCAGGGGGTAGGAGTGTGCTTGGGAGATATGACCTTATCAGCTAGACTAGAAGGAAGAGTGGCAGAAGGCAGGTCCAGAATCCCCTGCCAGATCTAAATTGACGATGACTTGATGAATAGTGACCCCATCACTCCATCCCAACCCGGCAGAGGAGCCCTTTCACCAGTGGTATCAGCACTTCCGTCTACATGGACCACTTGTGCGTAAAGAGCCAGAATGACTGTTTAACAACCTTCCTTCATTTTCATTCTTGGTATTTTTATTCATATGAGAACCTGTTATGGACCAGGGTTCTTGGCCTTCCCCAATCAATAAAAATTGACTAGAGGCCAGACAAGAAATTCAGGCAAGACTTTATTGGGGCCCCTGCTGCAGCAGGGGGGAACGAGAACAAACAACAGTTTCCCCTGCTTGCTCACTCCCCGAGGGGGGGACAAGCTTGTTTCTTATCCGGGGCGAGGGTAGGCTGTGTCCAGGGGTCGGGCCAGAGGGGTGGCTTAGGTGTTTTGCCCACCTTTTAGGTAGTGTTGCGTGCAGGGGGGCACGCACAATACCCTGCTTTTGCTCCTGACACCCTGTTTTTGCTCCAGGTTCTTCAAAAGTGGCAGTTGGGTTTTTTGGCCTCGTTGTATCTTTCGGGCGCAGTTATTTTTAGTCCCATGCGGTTTCTCTGTATTTTGTTGCTGGAGGAGAGGTGTGTTCAGGTGCAAGCACTGCAGCAAACGGTCCCAGGTCCCAGCTTGTCTCAAACCCAAATGATAATCTGCATTTTACACCAGGTGGGAAGCAATGGCTCAGCCTTCTTGTAAGGTCAGAATCTCTTCTTTAAGAGTATATTTAATAATTATGTTTTTGGGGTAAAATACTCTAAATTTACCTACATTTGTTTTACAGGTTGTTTAAAAAGTTTTGGGTCCCAGCTTTGAAATAGAAAATCCTTACAGCCCCTACGTCCAGGGTATGAATTGCTTTATATTTTTCACACCAACTCCTTTTCTAGAATTTCACGTTAGGGGAATTTCTTGTTATTGCATATCTAGGGGACATTAAGGGGATGTCAGTCAAGCAGGGTGCATTGAACCCATCCAACCTAAATGCACTTCGATTCGTTAATTTCATTATTTTCCTTTCTCTAGACCTTGTGACATTAAGAAACCTGAGGATGAACTTTACCAAACTCCATATCGTCGGGGATACTTTGCTTGGAAGGACGCAAAATGATTCCCTTGATAAATACTACTATGCTCTGTATGAGATGGTGGCTCAGGAAGCTGTTTTTGCAGTGGCCACGCTAGCTAATGTGGCCCAACACAGAAGCTGAGCGGAGAAGTTTTCAGCCCTCCCGGAATGGTGAGTTGCAAACCTGAAAGCGTGGCTGGCTCTCCCATCTTCCCTTCACTGTCTTGGTGCTGAATGTAGATCAGACTCTGTATGTGGGGATCAACAATGTTGTTTCATTCAACCTGGCTCGTCAGGCCATTCTGGGGGTCTTCTGTTCTCTGGACAGAGGTTCTTGTGGATTCTGCCACATGTGGGCATCGTTCAGCTAATGGGCAGAATTTATAATTTATGATTTCAAGACAGTCCGTTTTGCTGTCTTTTGTTTATTGGTTTTTTAGGGAATGGAGATTTGCTAGGGATGACCCGTAAGTTCACATGCGTTGTCTCACAAAAACATATTGAAGGTCTATCATGTGAGAGCCTGTGCTCAGTGCCAAGGTGTCTGAGTGACATCTGATGCTCTGAAGATGGTCACCCCAAGTAACACTTACACTACAAATTACTCTATCTTAAGCAGTGCAGATCTTCTCCATTCCTGGGACTAATCGTAAAAGAGTAATGTAGTAGAAGAATGGTATTTTTTTTTTTTTTTTTTTTTTTTTTTTTGCCGTACGCGGGCCTCTCA